CTGGAAGCATCAGATAGGTTGGTGGCCTAGGAGGGTCATAGCACTTGGTTCCTGCCCTCACCCGCCCCCCCACCCACATGGGTGCTGTTTTCCAGAAGGCTTCCATCACATAATTTACCCTCTCTCATGCCTCAGGGGATTCTGTTGCCCAAAAGGGTCCCAGTACATTTCCCATAGGTTCTGAAGGTGTGACCTGAATTTGAGCACTTCGTCTTTTCCACACACATGGGTCCTATTGCCCCAAAAGGTTGAACCCATCCCATGTGATAAGGACAGTCCTGGTCCATCAGGCATAATAGGCAGTGTCCTAGGGGCCTTGAAAATATTTTTATTTTTAAATCTGAAGAAAAAATATAATAATACCAAATATATAGCAAATGGTTTTTATAGCAAGGTAATCATAAATATATATATATATATATATATATATATATATATATCTTTTTTTTTTAATGCCTTCCCATGAAGGCAAAAGTGCCTACAGCCCTAAAAGTTAGTGTGGCCCTGGTTCTTTAGTCCATGAGGGTCCCATCTCGGTCCATGCATTCTGTCCCATCTGCAAGTCTCATGGCCCAGCTAGTGCCTTCCCTCAGGTGCCATCAGTGACGTGTGCCCACGAGCATATCGCAGGGGCATCTATACACCCAGCTCTCCGCCAGCCTCTACCCAGAGCTCACACACTCCATGCCACATGCCCCATGAGGGGTTTTCCACCATCCAAACCAGCAATTCTCAAAGTGTGGTCCTGTCCCCAAAGCCAAACTGATTTTCATAACACTAAGCCATTTTTTGCTGTCATTGTGACATGTGATGACACAACATCATCACTTTGATGGTAATGGATTATGTCCTTGTATATCTTGCTTTAAAAATTTTCCAGTTTCAATCTCTACAATGTTAACCAACTATAGATATAACCCACAGAAACATAAACAAAAACTCTTTTGAGATCCTCAATAATTTTTCAGAGCATAAGTAGGTCCCGAGACCGCATTTTGAGAACTGCTAATGCAGACTGTACATTTTACCAAGGACAAGCAGAGGTTCTCTGGTCACTGGTGCATGCATTGTCACCCACGAGTGAACTGTCACATGGTCTGAGCCCCTGCAGCATGCTCCCTCAGCATGTGTGCTCATTCACACATGTTTCCTTGTATCATGCATCTGATGGCAGTGTGTAGCCCGGCAGCATTTCACATATAGACGTCACACGAGACTATATGTGTTGGCTGAGAACAAAGCATCTGGCTAACGGCAACATCCCTTCCACACACGTAAAGGGGCCTCATGGCCAGACAGGGCTGCTGGTGGCTACCCACCCTGCACCTGGGCATTTGGAGGGCCTGGCCTGAGGGAAGCACTCACTGAATAAGCCACAAAACGCCATCCCAGCAGGCAGAGGGCAAGGTTCCTGTGCTCTGGCAAGGGCCTCTGGGGTCAGACATGGCCCTGCAGATGTGACAGAGGTTGGTCCAGCTCCCTTCTCAATTACACATACCATCAACCCTCCTCACTCACTGCCAACCAACTCTGACCATTTCTGTATTTTTTAAAAATGAGACAAGAAGAGATCTGGTCCCCCATTCCTTCCACTCTTAGTTTGGCTGTGGCTTACTTGAAATGTGGGGGGAGGGAGTCTCTGCCTAGGGTGCAAGGCACAGGTAAGCCCAAGTGACTGATGGTGCCATGTGGGGAGAGCAAAGCAGGCGACAGAGCCCAGAGAGTGAGCTGGAGGACAGAGGGAGACATGCAGAAATGGGAGAAGAGGCCCCCCTCCCATCCCCTTCCCAGGCCCTCAGGGCCCAGCCCACTCACCCAGGACGATGAGCTCTGCGTAGGCCTCGTTGTTCCCCTGGAGGTCCTGGGCCGAGACCACAGAGCAGTAATACACACCACTGTCCCCCCAAGCCGTCTGGTCAAAGGTCAGGTCAGCATCTGTACCAGGAGGAGAGTGTGAAGCCACTGTGGGGAGGCCGGAGCCTCCCACCATGGAGACATCAGGGAATGGGGCTGCAGGTGCGCGAGTGGCTATGAGACAATTCAGACCAGGCAGTGCTTCCTCTTAGGCTTTGCATTAAACACTTGACATGGGGTATTCAAGAAATCTGTGAGGTGGGCAGTGTTACCCTTCCCGGTTCATAGATGAGATGACCTGATCCACCCAAAGTTGTCCAGCTCATCAGTGGCCTTGACTCCAGAGCCAGCAATTCAGAATTAACAGCCATTCTCTGTACCTCTCACAGCAAAAGTTACTGCCCCCACTGTGAACTACCAGGGAGCCTGATGTAGGCCCAGGGCGTGGGCCCAGGCTAAGGGAGCAGAGGTAAGTAGCTCAGATTCTAGGAATCAGAATTCGTGGAGGCATGAGAAAAAAACGGGGTGTGTGTATGTGAGGGAGAAAGACCTGGACCGTCCCAGTTCCCTAATCCATCCACCCGTCAGCCCCCACAATCCAGGTCAGGCCCAGGGCTTGGGGACGCTCAGGTACGAAGCTGCTCAGGGCAAGGAGCCTGTTAATTACACCAGTAATGAAAGTCCGTCAGCATTTCCCGTTTCCTCTCTATGCTCCAGGCCCTAATTAGTTAAATCCCTTCAGGTATGCACCAGCGTGGGGCAGGTGGGACCCAGCTGGCAACAGGAACACGCCACAGCCACCAGCCAGTTTCTTCCCAAAAGCTCTGGCACTCGGGCCTCCGATGACTTGCCTACCACATTGCCCCACGTACCCGCTGCCCTTCTCCAAGACAGTCGAGGGCAGTAACTGTGTGTGCCCCAGTCTGCAGCACCTGGCACTCACCAGGGCATCAGCCACTTGCCAAAGAAATGAAAAAGAACCGGAGCCTTCCTCCTTTGGAAAGAAGAGCTCACATCCATAGACAAACCCTCCTTTCGATATGTCTACCTCCACCACTCCAAAAGCCCTTCCCTGGCCCACAGGCCCTTGGTATGATCTCGCTACCGGACACACCAGCCTCACCCCCACCAATCTCCTTCACTCACTACTCTGGACACTCTGGCCTCCTCACTGGGCCCAGCATGCTGGCCCACACCTGCCTCTGCTTGCACCTGTGCTAGTTCTTCTGCCCGGCACTGTGTTCTCAGACCCTGGCAGGGCGGGTTCCATTCCACTGGCACAGCTCCCCCGCCCCACTGCTACACTGTATCAGCTAGCTTAGAGGCTGAGCACTCCTGATCCCACCCAGAATCTGAACTCCACACAAGCAGACCCTGGTCTCAGTCACCGTTGAGTCCCGGGTGCCTGACACAGGGGGACTGGGAAATGAACCCCTTCCCTCCTAGCGTCGACCTCCCTTAGCTTTTGTAGTCTGTTCCAGGAGTCTAGGCACCTGGTTTTATTCAAATATGCCCTTAATACATTCAACATTTCACATAATTACTGAAAGCATCCTATGTTCCAGGCAGTATCTGAGGCATGTGGTATACTCGACAGCAACAGTTCTCAAAGTGTGATCTGTGGCTCCTGGGGTTCCCCAAGGCCTTTTCAGAGGATCCCAGAGATCAAAATTACTTGCATAATAATACTAAGATGTTATTTGCCTTTTTCACTTAATCTCTGAATGTACTGTGGAGTATTCCAGAGGCTACATGACACACGCTATCACAATTTCTACTCAGCCAGACTTCAAGGAGATGAGCAAAATTATAAAGCAACGATGCAATTTTCATTAAAGTTTCTTATTTTGTTTTGGAAAATATGGTAGTATTTTCATTAAAGTATGTTATCCATATTAACTTATGAAGAGTTTATCACTGTCAGCTTAAATATTTTTTAAACTTCTCTCAGTTTGCTAGCTATAAAAACAAAATTCTTTGAGGATCTCAGTAATTAAGAATGTAGAGGCCCTAGCCCTAGCCAGTTTGGCTCAGTGGATAGAGTGTCAGCCCTCAGACTGAAGGGTCCCAGGTTTGATTCGGGTCAAGGGCACATACCTCGGTTGCAGCTTGATCTCCCCCCTCCCCCAATCAGGGCGCATGCGAGAGGCAACCAATGTGTCTATCTCACATTGATGTTTCTCTCTCCCCCCTTCCCTTCCACTCTCTCTAAAATCAAAGGAAAAATATGCTCAGATGAGGATTAACAACAAAAAAAGAGTAGAGGCCCTAAAACTAACAATTTGAGAACCTCTGCTATGGACCACAGATATAAACCCCTGCCCTTATAGCAGTCCTTAACTGGGAGAGACAAATAAAAAAGGTTAAATATATGGCATGTCAAATGGTGGCAAGCAATACAGAGAAAAACAATCAGGGAAGACAGAAAGTGCCAGTGTGGAGGAGGGGGTTGTGCAAGTTTAAGGAGGGTGACCTTCGCAGCAGACATGAAGGAGTGGGGGACACAGCACCCCTCCATGGTCAGGTATCTGGCCACCAATTACGGAGTTTCTGCTATGTGCTGGGTTCCTTTGCACATATTCTTTCACTGAATCCTCATAAAACTCTTAACTATTCTCCCAAACGCTCTGGACTCTCCAGAACACCATCATTTTCCCAGCCTATCTTTCAAACCAGACTCTGACTACACCTCTCCAAACCAGAGCTCCAGGACAGGTCCCTGCCCAACACTGAAGAGGTGGACAGGAACCCCATGCCATAGCAAAAGCTTATGGGCCAGGAGATGAAATCTGGGCTCCTGTAGCTCACACCCGGGCCTTGACGTGTTTTGTTTGGCTTGCATGATGTTTCTAAAACCCATGAAAAATATGGATTCACAGCTTCTTTTGATCAATTCTAAGGCCTGGGCCCACCTCCTTCCTGCCAGGCGCGCCCTGTTCCCTGTATTATGTCTGGTCCTGACACACGGGGCTGGGCATTGCTCCAAGTGTTTTAGGTACAGGGAGAAGACACTGGTATCCAGCTGGAAACAGAAGCTGGGCCTCCTCCACACCTCTGAGCCTCTGGTTCCGTATCAGCACACAACAGAGGGCCCTTACAATCTCGGGGGCCCCATGGGCTCTCTGGTCATGTTACTGAGTGGGAGGGTGACACATGGACCCCAAGCAGCCTGAGGTAGAAACAGAGCTCCTATCCAGGCACCCACATCACCCACAGCAGGGAAGAATGGAAGGCGGTGGGGGCCCACTGAGCTGAGAGACTCTGAGGGTGAACTAACATTACAGTTTGCCCCGAACCACTTTCACTTAAGACCTGATGCTGGTGACCCTTGGGACACCACAGGAAAGTCAACTTTTCTCTACTTTCAAGGCTGAAATGGAGGAAGCTCCTATGGCTACTGGGTTTCCTGAGAGGACGTAGATACAATGGATGCCCACAGCCTACATCAAACATGGGCCGGATCAAGGCCGCTTGAAAGACCTGGGCCTGTGAGGCCTCCAGGGTATGAAGAATCTGCCCCAGCTGGAGCCTGAGGGCCACTCTGGAGCTTTGGACTCAGCACGGGCATGATTCCAGCCAGCCAGGCTGTCCCACCTGGTCCTGGCGGGAGCGGGAAAGGTACAGGACAGGTTAACCCCCAAGAAGCCCTTTGTCCTCAAGAACAGCAGGATGCTTTGGGCTGAACTGCCCATGGAAATTCAGGGCAAGCAGATCTGGTCTCTCCTAGAAACAGGACTGACAGGCTCAGTACTGGAACCTTGCCTTTCATCCATGGTCTACAGAGCGAGGGGAGGAGTGTGCCCTGGCCCTGGTCTCTTGGGGTCTGCAAAGGGACACTCCCTTCACTCCTCAGCCCCCATGCCCAAGACTAAAACTTTAATCTTGTTTTAAGACAGTAAAAGGATAAGTCCATTAAATGGGTGAGCCTTCACTCCTCACCCACTGCTTCCCATCACCTTCCTCTCTGCCTTCTATTGATTTCAGAGAGGAAGGAAGAGGAAACATCAATGATGAGAGAGAATCATTGATCGGCTGCCTCCTGCAGACCCCTCACTGGGGATTGAGCCCACAACCCCGGCATGTGCCCTTGACCAGAATCAAACCTGGGACCTTTCAGTTCGCAGGCCGACGCTCTATCCACTGAGCCAAACCGGCTAGAGCTGCTTTCTAGATTCTTTAGGACCCAGTCCCAGTCCCTCCTCAAACTACATTTGTGTAGTTCTTAAGGTGTGCACTCGAGTCACTCCATACAGCACAACACCAGGTCTGTTTTATTGTAACACTTATACTCTCTAATATTCTCTTACTCTTTATCTGATGTTTACTATCTACCTCACCCCACTAGCCCGTCACCTCCTTGAGGGCAGGGCTATCAGATGTCCTGATCACCACCCCATCCCCCGTGCCTAGTACTTGGTAAATGCTCGATAAATACTATCTGAACAGATGAATGAACGAACAACTTCCCCTCCACCCCTTACTTAGTCCTAACAGGCACTTCCCATCATTAGGCAGAATTAAGGTCACGGAACAGGGCTCCCAGGGCTGCCTGGGTTAAAATCCCAGCTCTAGCTCTGTGTGCTTAGATGAGCTACTTAACCTCTCTGTGCCTCGGTTTTCGAGTGGGAAATGTGGACGTAAGGACTCAGTGGGAGAATAATGTAATGCGCTGGCAAGTCATAGACCTTCTCCATTAAAATCTCTCACCCCACCCTGGTCAAGCAAAGGAGTTACCAGCTTAGAGACTAGACCCAAAGAGGCTGACTTAGAATCCCAGCTGTTATCAGCTCTGTGACCCTGTACAAGTCATGCTGCCTCTCTGGGCCTCTGTAAAATGACAGTAGCAGAATCTACTCACACAATTGTGGAGTCTAAATGAGTTAATCCCCACAAGCCTGGAATTACAGCCTGGCACATAGGAGGTCCTTTTAAGTCGTTACTTACAGAAATTTTACTTACTATTACATTAGTATTATAGAACCCTGCCTCTCTCTCCATTACCCACTCGTCTTTATTTCCAAGCACTTGAGAGTATGTGTGGTATTTATCTTGTCTCCCTCACTGGATTGCGAGCTCCACAAGGGAAAGAATTTAATAATTTTCTTTACTGCTGTATTTCCAAGGCACCAAACAACACCTGGTGTCTGTTAGGTGCTCCTTAAGTCTTTGCTGTTAAATAAAGGAATGGATGGATGGATAGAAGGAAGGGTCCTCCCTTTGTCAGTCATTTCAGACACTGGTGCTAACGAGCTTCCAGGTGGGGACTCCAGGTTGCACACAAGGGAGCCTGCGCAAGCCGTCCCCAGCCCCATCCCCTGCCTTCTCCCTTGCCCCACCCAACATACTTCCTGTTATGGTGATCCTCCGGCCCTGGTAGTAGTCGCCCAGGGTCACAGCATTGCCCTGCTTAGTGGCTACAACCCTGACAGTGCGCACACTGTCCTGACACTCCACATAGGGGTTGTAGCCCGGGTTACCAGCTGCCAGCTGGGCATTGAGCTGGTTGTCAACACTGGCTGGAGAAAAGGCATCAGCAATGCGGTCCCGGCAGAAAGACTTGTACTTCCAGATCACGATGGGTGCTGTGGGGGTCGTGGTCAACTGGTAGGTGCAGGGCAGGGTCACGGGCTGGAAGAGGATCACCACGTGGTAGGGGTCTGACACAGTCACTTGGATGGCACTGGCAGGAGCTGAGGGCGAGAGGAGAGTCAGTAGGGACCACTACGAACGCTGGAATGTGCTTCAGCAGAAATAAGCAACAACCTTTGTCACCAACTCGACACTTACAAGTGTATGGTTTTATAGAGAGCCTGGCATACACTGTTCCTTAATCCTCAGGACTGGTGGGGCAGCTCTGATAATCATGCCCATTTTATAGACCCGTGGGGCTGAAGTGACAGGTGCAAGGTCAGATGGCCAGATTTCTTGGAACATCCTGCCACCTCTCTTCCCAGAGTGTGTCCTCTGAACCACCCCAGCCCCCTCTTCCCTTGCCCAATCTCTCACAGAAAGGGCTCCTCTCTGTGGCCCATACAGGCAAGTGCTGAAGTGCTGGAGGCCCCACTTCAAAACCATTGGTCCAAATTACCCCAACTTTTGTGGACTGGAGGGTTAATTTTGGAGTTGTCTGAACTGCTTTGTCATGGAGTAGGTAAAGCTCAACAATGTCTCCATCAGCCTCCCATCTCACCCTACCCAAAGCCATTTCAAATAAATATGCCCAAAGTGCTTGCAGAAAGATAAAATCCGCCCCCCACGTCCCCACCCAAACAAACATCCGATCCAGCGAAAACTTGCCAGCAGAAGATGGTTTCAAACCAAGTCCTTCTAGAAGTCCATCCTACCAGACCCTTACGCACAGATACTTCGAGCCTGAGGGACACCCACCAGAAGCCTGGGCACTGTTTCTTGGTCTCGAGTGCCGGCTCCCCATTGCCCCAGGACGTAGAAATGTCCGCGTGTGCTCACGTCTCCTTCCCGGCCTTTCCCGCTGATCGGGTGGTCCCTTCGCCCCTGCCCTCACAGAGTTCCATTCTCCTTGCGCTCCAGGGTTTTCGGTCCCGGAGTTTCACTTCCTGCTATCCCCGAACAAGGGCGGGGGACCGCTTCCAACGCGAATCGGAATTCCCCTCACACCGTACACCAGGGATCTCGGAGACCCTGGGATCGGAAGGTCCTGGTCTTCCCGATTCCCCTCCCCCAGCTCTCCTGCCTCCTCGGAGGTGCAGAACTTCATTCATCCCGTTTCTATAATGCCCTCCCGCCCTTCCGCGGCACCAGGGGCCCCGCTCTCCGTACCTGTGCACAAAGTGCCAAGAAAGAGCCACATAAAGACGACCGCGCCCCAACCCGGAGTGCCCGGGTAGGAGCCCAGCACCCAGCTCCGGCCGCCTGCCCCTGGCGCCATCGCGGCCGTCTGGGCACGTCCGGTCCGCGCGTCCCCTGCTGGGTACCCGGAGGGTAGGGGGCGCGGCGCGCACCAAGGCTGGGAGGGGTACATGCTCCTCCTCTTCCCAGTTCCGATCTTTGTCCCTATTCCCAGGCCACCCTGCCCGGTTCTAGGGTTTCAATGAGCGGAAACGGCGTGGATGAAGAACACTTCCAGCTTTTCGGGGAGACACTTGCTTGACTCACTGTGTTTCTCCTAGTCACTCCACCCCCTGTGCGCTCTGGGGAATGGATCGGCCCAGGTACACAGAGTGAGAAGAGAGGGTTGGGCAAGGGGGTGGGCGGTGGAAGGGGCTCCTCCACCTCCCTGCCCGGAAGTGGGCTGGCCCAGGTGCGCGCTGGCCCGTAGGGTCGGAACCAAGTTACCGCCCGCCGGGAGCGCGCCTACAGACCTGGGATCCTGTCTTCTGCTCGTGCCCAGCCGAGCGGAGTGTGACTCACGAGAACAGAGACTCAGCTGGGGTGACTCACCTGTTGAGCGGGCAGGATCCCTGCGCGCACCTGTTCCTTCTCTCCCCTCTCCCGGGCTGGCGATGGACCCGCCTGGATACACCCTGCGAGGCGGGACGAGTGAGTCCGGTGGACGAGGTGCTCTTGTGTCTTTCACTTACTTTTTTAAAATTTACTGATTGACTGATTTGAGAGAGAGGATAGGAGAAAGAGGGGGAAATAACACCGGTTTGTGGTTCCAGTTATTTATATATTCTTGGTTGACTCTTGTTTGTGCCCTGACGGGATCAGAGGGTATGGGGACGACGCTCTATCCAACTGCCTACCTGGCCAGTGCCATGACTTCCACATACTGCATTGACTTAAAAAACTAAGCGAGGTTCCTGAAAGGGGACGCTCTGCCCCTCTTGGGAAGCCCAGGGAATCAGGCCCAGGAAAAGTTGGAATTCTACTTCCGAAGTTTTCTCCGCCTCCCTCCATTCCCATCTCGTGGTTTGGCCCCCGGGGCATCGCTTGCCCCAAGTCAGGCCTCCGGAAACTCTGGCTCTTAAGGGGCCCAGCGGAGGCGCAGACTAAAGACGGGTTTTCCGCTACGATTCCCGAGAACTAGACCACCTGCGCGTCAGGGCGGAGCGGCGCGAGGCCACCGGAGCGCGGGGTGCGCAGCGCGGCTCTGCTGCCCCGCGATGGCGGATAGGGGAAGCGCGTCCTGGGAAACACTGCGCTTCCGACTGGACTCCGGGGTTCCCTAACTGGCTGGCCGTTTCGGTGACCAGGGATGTTTTGTTTTAACGTTGTTAAAACTCAAGTAGGATCACGTACCTCTGCTCAAACCTTCCTGTGGCTCCCCCTCCCAGCAGAAACCAAAATACTAAACCGTGGCCTGCTCCGTCTCTGACCTCACCCCTCACTCAGTCACCCTGGCCTCCCCTGTGGAATGTCTCACACTCCCACTTCTGGCCCTTGCCCTTCCTACCCCCTCCGCAGGGACACCTTATGGAAGGTGGCCCCATGATCCTCCACCTCCTTTAGGGCTTCACTTAAAGGTCACCTTTGCAGTGACCTCTCTCCTGGCCACTTTATATGAAATTTCAAGATCCTTTCCCAACTTTCACATCCACTTTATAAAAAATATATTTTTGTGGTAAAATATACATACCAAAATATGTATGTATCATTTTAACCATTTATAAGTGCACAATTCAGCATTAATTACATTCACAGTGTGTTGGGGGCCAGCCCCAGCAGGTCCAGGGGTTCCCAAAGGTGTGGACGGAGTCGGTGAAGAAGGAAGGACCCGGAGACAGCGTTCAGTTGATCAGCATGGCTGGGTTCTCTCTTTATTGTTCTATTACATCTATATTTATACTATTTGATCCCATAAGCATGCCTCTATAATTACATCATGGTATGTTTTGGGAAACCTTCTACAGTTTCTAGTTTCATTTCCATAATCCTATCTCTATCTAGTTCTGTTGATTTTAATCTTGTCTAGGTTAATCTCTGTGTTCCATTACAAGGGCTATTCCAAGGTCACTATTCTATTGCTCTACTGATAAGCTACAAGGAAGTGACTGAAGGAGATTATCCTACCCAGTAAAGGTTATGTCCTCCCAGCCTCGCTGCTTGCCTTCCCTGGGACTGCCCTGTGTCAGTGGATCTCCAGGGGTATAGGTTTTGGTGCTTTCCCTGGTGGACAGACCCCTGGGGATGCGGGCCCAACAAGTCCCAAATTTATTGCCAACAGTCATAAGTCCAAGTTCTTCATAAGTAGTACATGGTATTTCTGTAACACTAGGGGGATTTACTGATTTATTCTCTTCCTTAGTCCTGTTAACCCCTAACCTGGGGAAACAACCTTTCTCGGGGAGGTGGTCCTGGTTAAAACACATAGCACTTAAGAGGGGGAGCAACCATATGTCATATATGCCAGGTCCCTTGAAACATAAGCTGTGCAGATGTTTCTTCCCTGCAGCGACTGCGTCAAGCAGCAAGGGTGGATCGGCTTCCAGCAAATTCCCCCATTTTTATTTTTTAAATGACAGCGCGTGTAAATCAGCGGCCACCTCTCGGATTGGGTTGTTTAAGACTCGGAAGAAGACTTGTTTGTAATTTTGCTAACAGGTCAGTCCGAGGCTTAACCCTATATCGGCTCCCCACAACAGTGTGTACTCATCACCACTATACTGGTATGTTCATCACCCTAAACTTTTTCATCATCCCCAATATAAGCTATGTACCAATTAAACAATAACTCTTCATCCTACCTGTCCCGTCCCCTAGTTATCTCTATATTCTATTTTCTTTATCAAATTGCTTATTCTAGGTACCTCATAGAAGTGGAATCATATAACATTTGTCCTTCTGTGTCTGGCTTATTCACTAAGCATAATGTTTCCAAGTCCATCCATGTTGTAGTATATATATCACAAAGCTTCATTTCTTTTTATGGCTGAATAGTATTTTACTGTATGTATATGCCACATTTTGTGTATCCATTTATTTGTTGTGAGACACTTGGGTTACTTATTGTAAATAACACTGCTGTGAATTTTGGTGTACAGATACCTGCTTTTTATTTTTTTGGATATATACCTAGGAGTGGAATTCCTATATCAAATCTGTAGGGGAGCTCAGAGATGAGCATGTCTCCAGCAGTAAAGGTGTCTGGGAAATGTTGGACTCTCTGTTGAACTTTCTGTGACTGGTTAACTCTATGTAGCCTCAGATTTGGCTGACTACCCGGAAAGCAGGACTGCCACCCAAAGATGAATGTCAGACCCCAGGAAGGGAGTTGACGAATATATGGAGTAAGGATAGCTGCCTGATGTTATCTGCTAACTTAGAGATGCATTATTCTTTCTCGTAGTCTAGGTGACTCCCCACCATGTGGTTTTACTACTCAATCCCCTATAAAAAAAGAGACCCTGTCCTGGGAAGGGGTGGCTCTCTTCCAGGCCAGCCACCACTGGAGCAAGCAGCTGCTTTGCCCCTGTTTAAAGCTCTTTTGAATCAAATAAGGCTACGTGTCAGTTCTTTGGAATCCATCCTGAATTTAGACTTTTGGGGCTTTCCCCCAACAGTGTTGTTTTATTTTTTATCCTGAGGAACTGCCAAACTGTTTTCCATATTGCTGTACCTTTTACATTATATTACAGCAGAGCAGGAGGGTTCCGAACTCTCCACATCCTCACCAACACTTGTTCTTTCCCCCTTTCTTGAATATAGCCATTCCAGTAGATGCAAAGTACCATCTCATCATGGTTTTCATTTTCAGTTCACTGAAAACTAATGATGTTGACAATCTTTCCATGTACTTATTGGCCATTTGTATATCTTCTTTGGAGAAATGTCTATTCACCAGTTTATTCTGTTCATCAGATTATTTAAAATCTTTGCCCATTTTTTAATTGGGTTGTTTTTTGTTGTTGTTGAGTTGTGGTTCTTTTGTATTCTGAATGGTAATCCCTTGTCTAGAATATAATCTGGAAATAATCTGCATTCTATAGGTTATCGTTTCACTTTCTTGATAGTGTTCTTTGATGCACAAAGTTCTTAATTTGATGAAGTTCAGCTTATCTATTTTTTCCTTTTGTTGCCTATGCTTTTAGTATTATAGCTATGAAATCACCGTTAAATCTGAAATCATTAAGATTTCCCCCAAAAACCAAGATGGCGGCATAGGTAAACACCTGAAATTGCTGCCTCACACAACCACTTCAAAAATACAACTAAAAGACAAAACAGACATCATCCAGAACCACAGGAAGGCTGGCTGAGTGGAAATTCTACAACTAGAAGGAAAGACAAAAGCACACTGAGACTCAGAGGAGGCGCGGAAGTAAAGTGCAGAGGTACGTAGGCGCGTGCGGAAAGGCCTGGCAACTGAGGGCACAGTTGTCTTTTTCAAGCTCCCAACTGCTCTGAACTCCAGTTCCGGGCGAGTCTCTGGGGACCCACACTCATACAGGGAGAAACTGGACTGTCTGGCATCGGTGGGAACTCAAGGGTGGCTTTGAGTTATACAATGGAGTATAACTCGATATTTGGGGCCTTTTTTGGTATCATTGCCAAATTTCTTGTCTGATTGCTGTAGATAGGATTTCCAGTACAATGTTGAATAGCAGCGCTGAAACTAGGCATCCTTCCTTGTCTTGTTCCTGACCTTATGGGGAAAGCTTTCAGTCTTTCACTATTGAGTACGATGTTAGTTGTGAATTTTCTATAATACCCTTTATCAGGTTGAGGAATTTTCCCTCTATTCTTAGTTTTCTGAGAGTTTTTATCATGAAAAGATTGGATTTTGTCAAATATCATTCATCATCAATTGAGATAATCATGTGGTTTTCCCCCCTTTCATTCTATTAATGTATTACTTTGATTTATTTTCTTATGTTGAATCACTCATATTCTTAGATAAATTCCACTTAGTTATGGTGAGTGTGGGAACCACACCAGAGTCCCTGGATAGTCAAGGCTACAGTGTGGAGAACTTGTTGATAGTATGCCGAATGTCCAAGGCCACTCTGCACCTAGGCTAACATACCATAAGCAGCTGCAAGGCCATAGCGATCTCACGGTATGCTGTGCCCTTCTGTAACCCAA